GTAAAAAGTTAAGGTTACCGTTTTCCGTTTACGTTAACTTTTACCTTTTACTTTTTAACTTTTTAACTTACGTTACGTAACTAGTCGACTATTAGTTTGTTGTTGTCGCTGCACTCTCCTCCTCTCCTCCTCTCTCTCTCTCTCTCTCTCTCTCTCACACACACACACACACACAGGCATATATAATCCTAATGTATATGAAGGTGGTAGCCCTCACTATGTTCGTTGCATTTGTTTCAGACACGTAGCCATCTTTGTCCAGCATGATGGCATCACCTGCTTTCGCAAGGTTTCCTTCAATCTGCAACGACCAAGTAATTTGGAAGTCATGACAATCATTTTGAGCATCAAAACCTATATAAGATAGATAAGCTAATAAATGAGATTAAAAAGTGCTCTCCAGTATAAATAGATAAGCTAATAAATGAGATTAAAAAGAGCTCTCCAGTATAAAATAGATAAGCTAATAAATGAGATTAAAAAAAGCTCTCCAGTATAAAATAGATAAGCTAATAAATGAGATTAAAAAGAGCTGTCCAGTATAAATACAAGAGATTGTACCTTGGCTAGAATGTTGTTAAGGAGATTATTATGATGAATCTTAGAGTCCAAGTTCTGACACAGAACGCACAATACTTAGTCTGACTGCAACAAACCCATAACGGATAGTACACCATAGTCCAATGGACTATTTAACACAATGGTCCAATGGGCTCATGAGTTTCAAATTAACTGGACATTGACGGATAGATAGTGTGAACCAGTCCTGGTTAATCAAATATTTGATTTCACTTTCCAGTCTTGATTAAGTATCTCATACAGATATCAACATACAAAAAAAAAAAAGGATCTTAACAAGAAGTAGAACCCAATTCTGTGCAACAGGCAGTGATTGTAGAACCCTTGGGGCTTCAGTCCAATCCAATTATGCATTAAATGAGAGCACAAGTTGAAGGAGATATCCAGACTTGAATCAATCAATTTAAGATCTAAGTATATAATAATGAGCAAATTATATCTCTTCGAAATATCAAACTTCTCAATACCCTCGCTTTGTTGTACAAAGATGAGGAACTTTTACGAAGAGATGCACTTAATTATGCTAGGAAAATGAATAAGCCGGGAATATAATGCTCCCAAACTCACATTTGGGGAATTTCTGCGTGTAGTAGCAGTGACCAAGGTTATCCCTTCTGAATTGTCATATACTGGTGGTTTCCACTCTGCAAGAACTAGTTATGACGAAGAAACCATTCAACATAACAGAATACATACATAAATAAAAGAACCACTGCAAGGGCAACTTTAAGGTTATCAAACAATCAAAGAAAATTTTGTATTTTTTTTTTAAATTGGAAATCTGTATGGTGATTATCCATGTGCATTTTGATAGAATAAATACAATACAGTTAACAAAGAATAGAATAAATACAATACAGTTAACAAAGAATATCTTTAGGGTTATATCACAGTTTAAATCCGTTGAAAAGAAGCCATTATATGAGCCCTACTCATAAGGATAAGTACTAAAGTCAGTTGAAATGAGATTATATAAGATGGCCATGCAGCTGAACTGTATACCAACCAAAAATTCCAGCTTTTTTTAGCTTGCTCCATTAATTACAATCTTCAGGAGAAGATAGAACATTACTGAGAAAACACTTAAAGTATGTTATAGGTCCAATGCATAAAGATAATATCATGAACAAGATCAACCCCTACCAATTAGAGTGCATCCATAACGATTGAATTCTGGGCTCATTCCAGATGTCACCTGCGGATGGAAGGTAGATTTTCACACAAACTTTAATTTCAAAAATAATCAAGGGACATTGTTTTAGATTGCATTTAAGCTTATCAAGATACCTTTTTTCCCCGTGTTAAGGTGAGTCGAATGTGTGCATTGTCTAGCATCCCATTTGCAATGAGAGTTGAGAATATAGCTCGCTTAATCTGGAAAGCCATACAACCTCTAGTAACGATTCGAACGAGGGAGTTCAAAGCATTTCAATTGACTTACCTCTACTAGCAGTACGAATGAGGGAGTTCAAAGCATTCAATTGACTCACCACCCAAAACCCATTTTTAATATTAAATTTTACCAAACACCATCCCCAATCAGAATCGAAGATAGATTTCTGTTTTAAGTAAAACCATGAAGCAAAACTGTTTTACACAGATGAAATTCAATTCAGGAATTACCTCAATGCACTCTGGAACATGTTTGAAATCTAAAGCTTTTGCAGAGTCAAATAATCTGAGAAACCAGAAAAGGAACATATTCATTCCTGTGCACTTGCACGGTTGAAGAACTTTGAGATATGCATAATCTTAAGGGAATGTTTTCTATAATCCAATGGATTGTTGAAAAGCATATTCCACTAGGGCCATCACCATCCATTGAAATGATGGGAGGTGATGAAGACAGAATGAGCACTCTAGAACAAGATGTGGGCCCAATGATGGTCCCACTCTATCTCCATCACCATCCATCATTTTATTAAACGGTGACAACCTAGTGCACATAAACCTTCTCCACTTTTAAACAATAAAAAAGGGTATGTACTTTCAAATAGCAGCAATTGTTGAGGTGAGGCTCCACACCTATCTAAATGTCTATCAAGCTTGAAAAGTTTTCCGTTGTAAACTCGAAGTCCTTCCCACACGGCATCGCCACCTTGGACAACTGAGTCAAACACCGAGACCTACCGAATAACAAAGAATAAGGAAAGATAACAAGCAGACCATGGCAAAGCACAAATGGGACGATAAGAACTTTGATAGGTGAAAATGAAAGCATGACATTATATGAGGCATCATTCTGTACTTTGATGGATTGGCACATACCTTTGCACTTTCACGAGTCATCAACTCATCACCCACCCACACAAGCAATTTTTCATTGGCAGGAACAGGAAGACTAGGTAGAGGTGAGGACAAAGATTTCCGGAAGGATGACGTGCGCTTAGCAAAGCTCCTTAGCAAGTTGTAGAATGGAAGGCTCTGCTCTAGTACGTCATAATGTTCGGATGGAAATGGCTGAAATAAATTTGTTTTAGAAAGCATAAGGTTGATCTAAGTACTAAATGTTAGTTTGTAAGGCACACTACTAAATAAATGGAGAATGATAGTTTCTTTGAGGGATACTAAAAAAATGAAGCTAGAATGCAGCCTAAGAATACGGAAATAGTATGAGAGCACATTATTACCAAGAAAAAGAAAATTTTACTTTCTTCTAAGATTGCAGAGTCAAATGAGCTTTTGTCTCTCACACCAAATTCTTCAGTTATGCAAGATATTATTATGGAACACTAAAGATATCAAACCAGCAAAGTGGTAAAGAGAAGTCCAAATTTTGGAGAATATACCAATGGATACTCCCGTGTTGATTTAAAAGATGTCGATTTGTGTACACTTTTGTACCACCAGGGTGCCCATATCCCATCAATTGGATTTGGACCAGCTTCCCACCTAGCACAAAGAATGCAATTGGCAAGGAAACCTTTATTTACTTAAATGCTGATAATATTGGTTCAAAAATTAACAATAGCATCATTACTTAACATCTGATTTCCCACCTAACAAAGGATCTATATACTTCAGTTGTAACACCACAGTTTGAAAAATAAAAAAGCACAATCTCAAATTGCTCATGTTAAACTTGTGTTGGCTTCAAACATTAGAACTAAGAGTAGCAGGACTTTCTTTCTTATAGCCTAATGCATAGTTAAATTCAACTTCTTCTTCTTTTTGTTATTAAAACTTCAACAAAGCCTCTGACAAGAATGAGTAATATAAAGGCAAGTAGTACATTCTTTGTTAGAATAATTCTTTATACATGCAAAGCCTAGTTATCACTGTTTTCAACAATATGGAAAAGCAAGGTCCATTATATAATTGTTTTATGGCAAGTACACCAATAGCTATACTCGAAGTACTATTCTTCATGGCTAAGTTCCCTCCAAGCCATAGCTATACATTTTGTAGATCCTATATTGAGAGCTCAGTGGAAAACATTTGCATACGTGAGCATTGATGACTGAAAAGGAATGCCCAAATCCTCACAAAGACCACGCAAGGCTGCCTGCATGTCCATCAAGTTAAGGAATTACTAAAGATTGAAATCAAATCTTAAAGATGAAATGACAATTATAAATAAAGTCAACAAGCAAGTATGATGTACAATTATGTATACTTATGGTTTATGTGCATCCAGGAATCCTTCTACAATGCCTTATAAAGCATAACTCCTTATTTTACGCTTCACCAGGAAAAAAGAACTCCTTATTTTGCGCTGGCAGTCAACATGCCGTAGTTTGGGAGTCCCAATCCCATTCCTGATATGAGACAAAATGATGCAAATAAGAGTTGTTGTTCCATTAGATCCAAAATGGGATCGGGAACCCTGATTTAGTTAAATTACATGAAGTGTTCATAACCCATTCGAGCTCTTCAGATAGAGCATTCTCAGCAATAGCCAACTCCAATCCCAAAACAAAGCCTTGGTCAGTTTATCAGTCCCATGGTATTGGGGAACCAATATTCCTTTTTTCATTTTTTCTGTTAATAAAAGCATCAATAGCACACAAAAGATATGGATCAAACTAAAGTGTCCAAATTAGAAGGAAACATTACATATTCAACATTATAAGCTGCAGCCCAGTGCTTGTTTTTTTTTTCTGAGTGACAGCCCAAAAGAATCAAAAAACGAATAAGGCTGCTCATATCTCACATTATCACACCTTGCTATATAACGAAGGGTTATGTTAGGGCGCTCACACTACAAAGTAATTTATCATTCTACTCAACAATTTTGGACACTTATGTACCCTTGTTTTGTAGATGGTGAATTTTTTTCATAAGGGTTTTTTTTATCATTAGGAGGGGTGTGACATCATCCACATTGGTATGACATCACTCACACGGAGCATTAAATTCTAATAGTGTGTCCATGTGGGTAACATTACACCCAATGTGGATGATGTCACACCCATCCAAATGACCAAAATTACCATTGTTAAAAAAATACTCCATGTATAAAACAAGGGAATAGGTGTCCAAAATTGTTGAGTACAATGATAAATTAATCCATAATGTGAATACCTATCATAACCCTATAACGAATATAGAATATCTAAGAAAAGAAAAAAGAAAACATTCCCAAACAAATCTGACAGGAACAAACTGTTCATTGCCTAATCCATGAAAGGTCTGGGATTGTTCCTCTCAGATTCATGTATAGCTTTTGCGGTTAATTTGTAACTTTTTATCTTTATTTTCTGTGTTTGGCTAGATAAGATCCAATAAACTAACAAGGGGGGAAGGAGTTACAATATAGATAAGGAGGCGAAAAAGCCAGTCTCATAAGAACCAAACAAGCACCTTGGAAAGTTCTCACAGTTTCTAATATCAGAAAATAGACCATCCTATATTCCATAAATTAAGTATTCTAAAATTATGGATTTCTGACAAAAACAGAACAAAATAATTATTAATAGAAGAAAACATTATACATCACATAAATAGATCCAAGGCAGATACTCTTCGTTCTTGCAAGCTCACTCTTGAGCTCAAGCTCAAGCTCAAGCTGTAGATCAGAAAATGTATATCTGTCTTCTCAGTCTCAGTTCAAAAACCGTATCTGTCTGATATTAGGAGAACATGGACAACAAATAGATTTATAATCTTATGTACCTCAGGCTCTTTTTGTAGGTCTGCCACATCTATGATAGCTGGAGGTTTTCCAATCTCACAGAGCTCACTGAATATCTTTACCATCTCTGCCAACCCAAGCTCAAAAAATGAGGCTGTCTGCACTTTATTGAAGGATGCCTAGAGGAAAAAAATAAAGGAAGGCACAGTGTCAGGTCCAAGAATATCCAATAAAACAATAGTGTCCAGCTATACCATGTCCATCGATGGTTCATTTTTCCAATAGAATTATACTGCCCATGTAGCGATATTCAAATTATGTGAAAGATTTCTTAAACCATAAGAAAACGAGAGGAGTCATTAGCATTTAACATGAGGTCAGGTTGTATGGTAAAGTTCGTATCATATTTTCAAATTTTTTGATGTGGAACATAAAAAGTATTTCTTAAACATCATGCTCTGCATATAATACTTATGCTAGTCCATGTCGTATCCATATAACATAGATTATTAACAAAGAATGCTTTATGAAATAGTGAAGAGATAAACCACAATAACTTACCAAAACATCAATAGGATTCCGAATTATTAAAAAATGTTTGCCCTTCTTCATCAAGTCACTTGGTAATCCAGGAAGGTGAAATTTTGCCATGTGCTGTGCACAAGAAATCATGAAGAAATCAGAGAATACAATTATAAAGATAAACTAGATTCTCATATTAACAGAACTTGACCAATTTGCTAGACAAAGAGAGATAATAGAGACATGAATCCCAACCAGACCTTTGCTCAAAATCATAATCCAAAAATAAAGCCATTGGTCTCTATTGAGATATAAATTGCAGAACACAAAAAAAAAAAGAAGAAAAAAAAGAGGGCATGTTCAAAAAGGAAAACCAGTACCACCATGGGGCAAATCATACTGAGGGGCCTCTTTGACACAAGGAGAACATGCCCCAAGCAAAATCTCAGTTTCTTCAAAGACCATAGAGATAGAAACATCAAAAAGTTGCCCCCCCATCCTTTGAACATACACTAGATGCATTGGGGAAAACAAAATTAAAGGCTATTCAATAAAGAGAAAACAAGTCGTCTGGAGCTTTGTATTTCCATCATGGGTCAAATTTTGCAACATATACGCTCTAATAAGCAATAAATCAGAGCTTATTCTCTGTTTCATTAAAACCTATTAAGCATTATAGCAACAAATTTTAGATTCAGAGAATGCATGTACCAAAAATATAACTTCCACCATCTGATGATGTTCAAAGAGATAGTGTGCATGGGTGCAGAGATATTTACCTTGCAGTAGCGATACGTCTTCTCTCCAGGACCATAAATTACCTCCTTGACAACCCTATCACCATCCGAATCCTACTTGACAAGCAAATTCACTCCAATGATAAGCCATCAATCCATCAACATAAAAGCATAAGCCATCACTCACTCACACAGACACACAGAGTGAGTGAGTGAGTGAGTGAGAGTCATGTACATTTCTAACATGTTACTTCTGAAGTATCACACCAGACATATATCTATTTTTCTGAACAGGATGCCATGAACTCTTGAAATGCTAGAATTTTCACAAAAGAACAACATAAATACCTCAATAAGATCCTATAAGTCCATATTCAGTCACAAAAGACTATGCACTTTGTGGGCATCTTTTGTCAATTTTATAAAGGGCTGCCATACTTGCATGTATGGGCTGTTTATGAAATGCATTAAAGTAGAATTGATATTCCGTATTAAAAAAACTCCTGAAAAGAAGTGGCATATGCATCAGCCATAGAAGAGAAAACGACAGTCTTATCATTTGCAAATCTCAAGTGGATATTTTGTATTGTCATGGAAGGGCAAGATGTAATTCACTGAGAGAAATGACACTACAAGTTGCATTGCCCATTATATTGTATGGACCAAACCTAATGATATGCCAATGAAGTTTCTTCTGAAGTATCACACCAGACATATCTATTTTTCTGAACAGGATGTCATGAACTCTTGAAATACTAGAATTTTCACAAAAGAACCATACAAATACCTCAATGAGATCCTAGAAGTCCATATTTTAGTCGCAAAAAAACTATGCACTTGGTGCATCTTTTGTCAATTTTATAAAGGGCTGCCATAGTGGCATGCAGTGGTTTAAAAAACGGATCGGTGGCCAGGATCAGGTACCCCAAAAACCCATCCGGTTCAGTGAATAGGGATCCGGATCGGGAAATCGGCCGAATCGGTCGGATTAAGCTGTGAAAAAAATATAAAAAAATTATTAAAATTTATTATAAATGTTGTTTTTTAGGAATCCAATAAGATCGGGGTACTATGTTATTAATTTTCATTTTTTTCATCAATATGTGAATATTTAGATATTTTTTCTCAGTGTGAACTTATTTTAACCATTAAATTACATCACACAAAATAAAAATCATAGAACTATCATGGATGAAGTATATAATCATACAGGGACTGCAATAAAGAACGATTTTTTTATAAGAACATTTTAGTTTTTTTGAAAAAAACCCTTTATTTTTTAACAAGAAATGTTTGTCGTATTACATTTTTTTTTGTTTTTAGCAAGAACCTTTTTTTTGATAAAAAAATACTTGTTGTATTATATTTTTTTTGTAAGAACTTTTTTTTCTAACAATAAATTTTTATTACTTTTTATTTTTTTAACAAAAACCTTTTATTTTTTTGACAAAAAAAAGAAATTTGACAAGAAAAATAATTGATAATAACCTTCCATTTTTTTTTATAAGAAAATTTTTATTTTATTGATAAGAAAATTTTTTGACAAAAAGCAAAATTGATAAAAAAAACATTTCATTTTTTTGATAAGAAAAAAATTTGACAAAAAGCGAAATTGATAAAAAAACCTTTCATTTTTTTCTTATGACAAAAATACTTGCTGTATTATTATTTTTTTAATAAGAACTTTTTTTTTTTTAACAATAACTTTTTATTACTTTTTTTTTTTTTGACAAAAATTTTTTATTTTTTTGACCAAAAAAAAGAAATTTGACAAGAAAAATAATTGATAAGAACCTTTCATTTTTTTTTATAAGAAAATTTTTATTTTATTGATAAGAAAAAAATTTGACAAAATGTGAAATTGATAAAAAAACCTTTCATTTTTTTGATAATAAAAAAAATTGACAAAAAGCGAAATTGATAAATAAAACCTTTTATTTTTTTTATAAGAAAAAAATTTGACCTCAAAAAAATAAAATTGGCAAGAAAAATATTTATAAGAAAAAAATTTGACCTCAAACAAATAAAATTGACAAGAAAAATAGTTGATAAGAGAACCCCTTTCGTCCCAAGGAGAATGGCCCACACCCTCCTCCACATGCAGAAAGAAAATTATAACCAGTAAGCCACATGTTACTTCGTAGTATTAAAAGCGCAAACAAAATATATTATATATTAATGTTTCAAG